TTTGGACCCAATTTTCCTTCCTGAAGTAGGTAGGAGGGGGGGATGATGTTGTAACGGACCATCCCCCACGCCCCACTCAATAATGTGATGGGGATGCTTCCCGTCCCCGCTATTCTTACGGCCCCTGCTAGTGTAGACTAAAATATTACTATATTTCTTAATCGTGCTGACGAGACTATGAATACAATCATGCTGTAGATACATAACTGTATAAACTACGTCAAAAAGCAGTGAGATTTAGCAACATTATAATTGGCAGCAGCAGAGGCCCATAATCAAGCTCCGGTGAGCGAAACCTACATTGTCTTGTCATAGAAATAATTATCCTAGATAGATTACATGATCTGTGGTAATATATATTTTATTAGTGTCTTGTAGTTTGGTGTTTTTACGTTACAATGTATGCCAGTGCTCACCGTGGATGACCAGATCATGGTTTATACTGCTTTATTTAATAATATCTATGTTATGTTTATATTTAATATGCTGATGTATTACGTGATCTATGTAATATCTCGTATTATTATTATATTATTTATCATATTATATATATTATATAGATATATATTGTGTTTAGAGTCAGTTATATATTATAATTTATTTATTATTATATGTCAGGAACTATGATCTCTCATGACGTGTGTACTACATCAATCGCTTAAACGTATTTAATGTTAGTAGACTGAGAGTGTAATATGTAATTGACGGTGCTATCTATTTTATAGTAGTAAACAGTGGTGGTCGTAACTGGGTGTGTTTAAATATTTAGTGTCTGGGAAGCATTATATGCGCGGAAATATAGCTACATAGTCAGGGCCATTTGTTAAGCGGGGGGGGGGGGTCTTGGTAGGGGTGTTCTACGAGACTCTCGCCCCCTCCTAGGTTTAACATCTTGTTACATATAACGTATCTTGCATTTCCATGGATTTCTCGTGGGGATTGTTTTTAGGTTCGCATTGTGAATCACAAATATACTAATGAGCAACAGATTGCTCTTAGTATATCGCTAGAAGAGATATAGAGCCTGATGGCGTATAGCAAATCGCTGAAGGCCGCAGTACTAAATAAGGAGTAATTCTTTTATATATAGTTATGGCCTGTAAGGCTATTAGAAATAGCTGCAGGCCGCAGCAATAAAAAGAATATAAGTATAGTTATTGGCCTGAAGGCGTATAGAAATATGACTGCAGGCGCAGATAAGAAAAAATAGGTTATAATATGGCCTGGAAGGCGGGTATAGAAATAGGCCTGCACGGCCGCATGATAAAAAAAAAATATGTATCTAATATGGGCGCGTGAGGGGAGTTTTATATGTTCGAATATAGCTGAGCAGCCCGAGAAAAAAAAATATTATTAATATTAATATGTCATGTGAAGGCGCGTTATAGAAATAGGGCTGCAGGCAGCGAGATATAAAAGTAAAGTTAGTTATAGGTGATGGGATATGGCTGGAAGGCGTATAGAAATAGCTGCAGGCGCGCAGATAAAAAGAAAATATATAATAGTGGCCTTGGAAGGGCAGTACTAGAAATATGCCTGCAGCGCAGCATAGAAAAAAAAATATAGTAGTATAAAGTATGGCCTGAAGGCCGTATAGAAGATACCTGCAGGCGCGCCAGATATAAAAGAAAAAAATAATATATATGGCTGATAGCCGAGATATAGAAGGGTAGCCTGCAGGGACCGCAGATAAAAAAAATATATTCTAAGTATATATTTTGGTAGTGTCGTGATGTATCTATGTATAATCTTTCCCGTTATAGGCGTGCCAATATAACCGGTCCTCATATGGTATTCGGTGTGAGTTGCATTTTCACTGGGCCATTCTCTTATACCCGGGGAGTTTCGTAGCTTGATAATACTCTGCCAACGTCATCGCTCGAAATCCGTGAAACACTCGCCTCAAGTTGTCAATCTTACACTGATTATCAGCATGTGACTGTATCATATGCTTGGTATCTCATGAAAATAATTTCGGATTTGCTCTGCATTTCATCGGAAGTGCTGTGGTATTGGGTGAAACAGCGAAACCGGTACATAAAAACAGCGGACAACAGTGATATATTTACTTGTGTCAATGTGCGCGCAATGGCGGCGTGGGTGGTTTAGCCAGTTGAAACGCTTCAAGGTGCTGTGTACGATGCATGCTTTTGTCAAGGAGGTATTTGAATGAATGAAGTGAAACCATTTGCGTACATGGCTGTTACAATATTTTTTTTATTTACACATGATTTTAATAGTTATGTTCAGGGGTTCTACGTTGTGGGTTTGTGGCTTGCTTCATATGTAAATGTATAAGTAATCGATTTCTATTCCATGCTTTTATTGATTAGATTGTTATCTAAATATTTAAATATTTATAGAGGATTAACTATAGCTTTAGATGAGTATCATATAGTTTGAGGGGTTACGATTGCCTCAAAACATCAACGCATAAGCGCGTATACCAAGTTAGTGAAGAAATTCTTTTATAATTTACAAATTGGCCCGACTCGCTGCGCCTGTACTGAGTTATAATATATATCGACTTTTTTTTATTCAATGGGATACTGATTTCATGAATTCGATTGTACCATTCGAAAGCTATGCCTTTTATGATTAGCGAGGTTAGAAAAATTCTTTATTGTCAATTGCTGATGGTCGCGCGGCAAGCTTCACATGACAATAGTCCAATGGACACAGACCACTCTGCTGGACTGCTCTATATCTATACTGTATATACCCAAGTTTGTTTATTCATCTACGAGTTGGACATGGATAGCTGTTAGCATGGTGAGGCTCAACAGGTTCGAGACGTCGCAATTCTACATTATTGGTCCACATGAACATTAACCGGCAACATGTGTTTATAAGAGCGTTTTTAAATGAATACTGCAACCCTTTGTAGATGATGTCGTTATCATTAACTTTTTCTCATTTGCACCAGTAGTTACTAGTTATGGTTTAGGAGGTTCTAATTGGGGTTTCTTGCTGTCTATAAGTGTCGTACGTAAGCAGTATTTTCCCTGTCCGTCTTATGTTATTGGACTGATTTGTAAATAGTGATTATTGTTGTGCATGCAGGAAATTGCATCGAAGAGGTGTTACTTTCAACAAAATCTCCGGTGGAGGTCCCCCGCTAAACCTTTCCCTGAAGGAGGAAAAATCCTGATATATATTCTATGATAAACATGTCCAAAATTGATTGCTTTTAGATTGCAACTGTTTAACAATTCCACACAGTGGGAGGGGGACACCCCCTCCAACACCCCCCTCCCCCCGGGCGCTTCGTGCACTTCAGCTCGCATGATTCGCCCCCCCCCTTGAATTTTCTTCTGGATCCGCCACTGGTTGTGTGTGTGGGGGGGGGGGTGTTGCGTGTTACTAAACCTCTGGGATCCAAAGAAAAAAATAAAATTCACAAAATTACACTTACAATATCAATTTGTTTCAATTCCCTCAAAAACGGCCATCTTGAAAGGTTCTAAATTGCTAAAATCCAAGAGCTTCCGGGGGCTCCGCCCCTGGACCCAAAGGGCTTTGCGCCAAGGCGCTCGCGGGGTGCGCTACTCGCGCACGCTCTTCATATGCATTGCGATGGAAGTAACAGCGAAATCATCCCACCCACAACTAAGGACTTGTCTACGCCACTGCTAACTAGTATATTATTTCTATGACAGCTATGTGGTTCTGTAGGCTATACTAGGTTTGCGTCCGGCTGACTACTATCTGACCCATTCATTCGGAGGTTAAAATTCACAATTTGAAAGCAGATATTTACCATATTTTCATCAGTGGGTTGTATATTCTTCACAATAGTCACCATTATCACGCGTCAGCTGTGTGTCCTATTCAGTAGCATCGTCATATCATAGCGCCCAACATTCCACCAACTGGTTAATTTGTTACAGAAAATATATTATCTGATACTCAACACTATTACCCGGATGAAACCCTATAGGATTAATATATGTGCGTGCGTGCGTGGGTGCGTGCGTGTGTGTGTGCGTGTGCGTGTGCGTGCGTGCGAGCGTGTTTGTGTGTGCGTGCGTGTTTGTGTGTGTGCGTGCGTGCGTGCGTGCGTGTGTGCGTGCGTGTGTGTGTTATGTGTAGTATACAGCAGTTATATATCTGAAGCTGTGTACCTGCACGTATCTACCGTGTAGAGAGAGAGAGAGAGAGAGAGAGAGTAGATCAGTGTGAGTGTTGGAAGAACTGCGAGCGTGCAGCAATGGCCACCGATGTCTGTAGCCTCCTAGCTGTCTCTAGCCTATACCTACTACACCGTAGCTCTGCCCGTGCCACCCAGCATACAGCGCGAGCGCGCAATATCGATTGCCCGCCGATCGATGAGATTCCGATAACTGTCGCATGATTGATACTCACGAGCTCGTCGGACGGATCCATTCCGCTAGGTAGGAAGGTAGGGGTGGGTAGGATGTGTGGCTGATATATGTCCCCCAGGGTACTGCCGGAACGTAGTCTGGGTACGGTCCGGTATACGGGAACGTACCCTGGCAGTACCCTGGGGGACATAGACCCTATATCAGCGGATGTGTAGGGGTGTGGATGGTGTACGTGTAGGGGTGGGGAGGATGTGTAGGGGTGTGGATGGTGTACGGTAGGGGTGGGGAGGAATGTGTAGGGTGTGGATGGTGTACGTGTAGGGGTGTGATGGTGTACGTGTGAGGGGTGGGGGAGGATGTGTAAGGGGTGTGGAGGTGTACGTGTAGGGGTGTGGAGGTGTACGTGTACTGTGTAGGGAATGGGGGAGGATAGTGTAGGGGTGTGGATGGTAGTACGTGTAGGGGTGGGGAGGATGTGTGGGATGTGGATGGTGTACGTAGTCAGGGGTGTGGATGTGTGTACGTGTAGGGTGTGGATGGTGTACGTGTAGGGGTGGGAGGATTGTGTAGGGGTTGGATGGTGTACGTGTAGGGGTGTGATGGTAGGACGTTGTAGGGGTGTGTATGGTGTACGTGTAGGGGTGGGGAGGATGTGTAGGGGTGTGGATGGTGTACGTGTAGGGGTGGGGAAGGAGTGTATGGGTAGGATGGTGTACGTGTAGGGGTTCGGATGGTGTATGTGTTAGGGTGGGGATGGGATGTGTAGGGATGATGGTGTATCGTGTAGGGTGGGGGGAGGATGTGTTAGGGGTGTGGCATGTGTAGGCGTTAGGGGTGGGGAGGATGTGTAGGGCGGTGTGGATGGTGTAGCGTGTAGGGATGGGGAGGATGTGTAGGGGTGTGGAATGGTGTAGCGTGTAGGGGTGGGGAGGATGTGTAGGGGTGTGGATGGTGTACGTGTAGGGGTGGGGAGGATGTGTAGGGGTGTGGATGGTGTACGTGTAGGGGTGTGGATGGTGTACGTGTAGGGGTGTGGATGGTGTACGTGTAGGGGTGGGGAGGATGTGTAGGGGTGTGGGTGGTTGTACGTGTAGGGCGTGGGGAGGATGTGTAGGGGTGTGGATGGTGTACGTGATAGGGGTGGGGAAGATGTGTAGGGGTGTGGATGGTGTAACGTGGTAAGGGGTGGGAGAGGATGTGTAGCGCGGTGTGGATGGTGTACGTGTAGGGGTTGTGGATGGTGTACGTGTAAGGGGTGGGGAGGTGTACGTGTAGGGGTGGGGAGGATGTGTAGGGAATGTGGATGGTGTAGCGTGTAGGGTGGGTGATGGATTGTGTAGGGGGTGTGGGTGGTGTAGCGTTGTAGGGTGGAGGAGGATGTGTAGGGGTGTGATGGTGTACGTGTAGGGGTGGGGCAGGATGTGTAAGGGGTGTGGATGGTTGTACGTGTATGGGGTGTGGATGGTGTAGCGTGTAGGGTGGGGGAGGATGTGTAGGGGTGGGGATGTGTATCGTGTAGGTTTTGTGTGGATTGTGGTATTGTGTGCGTGTAGGGGTGGGGATGGTGTACCGGCTAGGGGTTTGGGTTGGTTGTACGTGTAGGGTGGGGAGGATGTGTAGGTGTGTGGGATGGTGTACGTGTAGGGGTGGGGAGGATGTGTAGGCGGTGTGGAATGGTGTTGTGTAGGGGTGTGGATCGGTGTAAACGTGTAGGGTGTGGAGGTGTACGTGTAGGGTGTGGCATGGGTAGTACGTGTAGGGGTGGGGAGGAATGTTAGGGCGTGTGGATGGTGTACGTGTAGGGGTGTGGATGGTGTAGGCGTGTCGGGTGGGGAGGATGTGTAGGGTGTGGATGGTTGTACGTGTAGGGGTGGGGAGGATGTGTGAGGGTGTGGATGGTGTAGGTTGTAGGGGTGGGGGAGGAGATGTGTACGGGTGTGGATGGTGTACGGTGTAGGGGTGGGGAGGATGTGTAGGGGTGTGGATGGTGTACGTGTAGGGGTGGGAGAGGTGTGAGGGTGTGGATGGTGTACGTGTAGGGGTGGGGAGGATGTGTAAGGGTGTGGAATGGTGATACGTGTTAGGGGTGTGGAGGATGTGTAGGGGTGTGGATGGTGTACGTGTAGGGGTGGTGGATCGGTGTACGTGTAGGGTGTGGATGCGTGGTACGTGAGGGTGGGGAAGGATGTGGTAGGGGTGTGGATGGTGTCACGTGTAGGGTGGGAGGACTGTAGGGGTGTGGATGGTGCTATGTGTAGGGGTGGGGAGGATGTGTAGGGGTGTGGATGGTTTTACGGTAGGGTGTGGATGGCTGTCGTGTAGGGGTGCGGGAGGATGTGTAGGGGTGTGGATGGGTGTATCGTCGAGGGGTCTGGGAGGAATCGTGTAGGGGTGTGGATGGTGTACGTGTAGGGGTGGGGAGATGTGTAGCGGTGTGATGGTGTATGTGTAGGGGTGTGGATGGTGTACGTGTAGGGGTGGGGAGGATGTGTAGGGGTGTGGATGGTGTACGTGTAGGGGTGTGGATGGTGTACGTGTAGGGGTGGGGAGGATGTGTAGGGGTGTGGATGGTGTACCTGTTGGGTTGGTGTAAGGTGAGTGGGGTGGGGCTGTGTAGAGCGCACGGGTGTAGGGGTCTTGTAGAGGGTGTAGGGGCATTGGAGAGGGAGTATGGGCACTGGGGATGGTGTAGGGGCATTGGAGAGGGAGTAGGGGCATTGGAGAGGTAGTAGGGGCATTGGAGACGGTGTAGGGGCATTGGAGAGGGTGTATGGGCATTGGGGAGGGTGTATGGGGCCTTGTGGATGGTGTAGGGGCATTGGAGCGGGAGTAGGGGCATTGGAGAGGGAGTAGGGGCATTGGAGAGGGAGTAGGGGCATTGGAGAGGGTGTATGGGGACTTGGGGATGGTGTAGGGACATTGGAGCGGGAGTAGGGGCATTGGAGAGGGAGTGGGGGCATTGGAGAGGGTGTTAGGGGCCTTGTGGATGGTGTAGGGGCATTGGGGAGGGAGTAAAGAGCATGACGATGGGCGGAGGGGGGAGTAGAGAGCATCGTAGAGTGATAGCTGGCGGTCGTACTTGTGAGTTTATTGATGTCAGAACATTTCGGCACTCGTGCAGCTTTGCCTGTGTATCGGTGCAAACACCAGAGCACTGATATACCGACGCCGCTACTAAATGTCAGACGAACCGAGGTGTTTGGTTGCTATGACGACAATTTGCCTTCGCCACCGCAGCGTTAGAATATTATGACAGCGACGATATATGTGTGTGTGCGCGTGCGTGCGTGCGTGCGTGCATGCGTGCCTGCCTGCCTCCGTGCGTGCGTGCGTGCCTGCCTGCCTGCGTGCGTGCGTGCGTGCGTGCGTGCGTGCATGTATTTGTGCTTCTATGTTCGCAGGAGACAGAGGGGGACGGGTGGAGGAGATAGATGTGGTGAAAGGAAGGGGAAGGAAGGAAAGAATAAAAGTCGATATTTCACTCTTGACTCTTGTTTCCACCATAAAACCACCTGCCATTATTATTATGATCATCATCATCATCATCATCATCATCATCATCATCATCATCATCATCATCATCATCATCATCATCATCATCATCATCATCATCATCATCATCATCATCATCATCATCATCATCATCATCATCATCATCATCATCATCATCATCATCATCATCATCATCATTTGTGTCGGTACATGTTTACAGCCCCCACTCTCACCTTCCCCAACCCTCACCTTCCCCAACCCTCACCTTCCCCAACCTTCACCTTTCCTAACCTTCACCCTCGCCCAGACAGCGCTAAGTCATCCGCTAACTTTCTGCCGCTACGCAGCCGTAATGTGCGAAGCGCTCCGTCATCGTTACGTCATCGTTACGTCACTGCCTTCGCTACTTCCCCTGACACGCGTCCATCCGCCGCCCTCCACCCCCACGCGGCGCAAATAATTGCGCCCGCGGATCGATACCAGCGCATATAGCGACCGGCGGGCGATTGCGTCATTTGTCGAATCCGGCTGATCGAACGCATGTGCTGTCGTCTGCTCAGCGGGTGCGACGCCAGCGACACCGCTCGATATCGCAGTCACGCTATTGATTAGAATGCGTAAGCGGGAGTGGTGCGTGCGTGTGTGCGTGTGTGTGTGTGTGTGTGTTTGTGCGTACGTGCGGNGTGTGTGAGAGACAGAGATAGAGAGAGACAGAGACAGACAGAGAGAGACGGAGATGGAGACAGAGAGAGAGAGAGAGAGACAGACAGAGAGAAGATGCTGATAGGGAAAATACTGAGAAAGACGATGCTGAGAGAAGGACGATATTGACAGAGAAGATGCCAAGAGAGAGAGGATCCCCAGCCGCTACATGAATCTCCTGCAGTGACGCCCCTCTCGTTCTTTGGCACTGGCACATTTTTGTACTCGGTTTACAAATTTGTGTTAGTGTCAAGTGAAGAGAAGGTGCATGATTCAACAAGAGAAATGCCAATAGAGGAAGCTGTCAACAGAGGAATCTGTCAATAGAGGAAGCTGTCAATAGAGGAAGCTGCCAATAGAGGAAGCTGCCAACAGAGGAATCTGTCAATAGAGGAAGCTGTCAATAGAGGAAGCTGTCAATAGAGGAAGCTGTCAATAGAGGAAGCTGTCAATAGAGAAATCTGTCAATAGAGGAAGCCGTCAATAGAGGAAGCTGTCAACAGAGGAATCTGTCAATAGAGGAATCTGTCAATAGAGGAAGCTGCCAATAGAGGAAGCTGTCAATAGAGGAAGCTGCCAATAGAGGAAGCTGTCAATGGAGGAAGCTGCTGATAAAGGAAGCTGCCAACAGAAGAAGCTGCCAACAGAGGAATCTGTCAATAGAGGAAGCTTCGAGGCCTAGTGGAGAAGAGGCCTGTACACGATGTTGTGGTGTAAATATGGCAATGAGCTACCTAGCGGTCAGGATGTGTGACCACACCTTCCCTTCTCACACATCTCTCCCTCCTCCACACCTTCCCTTCTCACACATCTCTCCTCCTCCACACCTTCCCTTCTCACACATCTCCTCCTCCTCCACACCTTCCCTTCTCACACATCTCTTCCTCCTCCACACCTTCCCTTCTCACACATCTCTTCCTCCTCTTGAAGGGAAGGTGTCGAAGAGGAAGAGATGTGTGAGAAGGGAAGGTGTGGAGGAGGAAGAGATGTGTGAGAAGGGAAGGTGTGGAGGAGGAAGAGATGTGTGAGAAGGGAAGGTGTCGAAGAGAGTGAGAGATGTGTGAGAAGGGAAGGTGTCGAAGAGAGTGAGAGATGTGTGAGAAGAACGGCTGGTGAGGTGACGTGATGCGAGGTGTTTGACGTCGTTGAAATCGAATTCTGTATAGCTGCACATTTATTCACAAAACACGAAAATTCAAGTCAACAGTAACCACGATTATTCGTTTATTATGATTATCACATGTAATGTCATTACTATATTATACATACATTATATATATGAATGCTTACTACTTACTTTATACGTGGTAATAAAGCTGCTATAACTAGTGACAGCTACTGACTCTACTACTAATGTCTTTTGGCAGCTTCAGGCAACGTCGCGTGGGAATGCTTCAGGGAAGTGATTGTCCCACGTTGTCCGCACCAGAGCCTGCGACATGTCCCCACATTACTCACACAGGCAGGCCTTGGCAACGAGAGGCGCGGAGAGAGAGTGAAGAGAGAGAGAGAGTGAAGAGAGAGAGAGAGAGAGAGAGAGAGAGAGAGAGAGAGAGGGGAGGGNGGGGGATGGAGGAAGAAGAAGAGGACAATCGTACATAATTGGTCCCTCTCAGTGCATAGTTGGTGCGTTGCTCGTTCCCGTCCCTGGTCCGGCTTCTACGTGCATGTCTGTCTATCTTCTATATTATATCATATTACCGCCATCAATGGAAGAGTACACCGGTCCCTGAGAATCTCTTGCGTTGTAGAACCTCGCCCCTTCCTCTTCATCCTCCTCCCCCTCCTCCCCCCTCCTCCCCCGCCCCCGGGGACATCATGACGTATCTGCCTCCCGCCCCCATCGTCAGATATGATCCGTCCGTCGCCGCGCCGCCGCCATCGTCATCATCCCACTCGTCTGCGAACTCGATGTCGTCTGCTCCCGCGGCGGCGGCGGCGGTGGCGCTGGCGTAGGGGTTGGCGGCGATCGTTCTGTTGTCGACGTAGATTATGCGCGTCGCGTCCGGGTCGACGTTGCCGCGAGGTGACGCTCCGGCGCCCTTGAACGTCGACATGTACTCCGGGTCCTTCGCGTGCAGGCTCGGGGAGTTGATGCGTGTGTACTTACCCGCGCTGAAGTCTGGACCTGCATGCATGCAGCAACGCATGATGGCATTAGGGCATGAGCAACTCCGGAACGACTGCATAGCCGCCTTTGGATAATCTAACTAACAACTGATGCGTGATAGCCCCGTTACGTAAATAAATATTGCTGCGATAATCTACTAAACAGACTAATTCTATTGCCCGTTATCGCTAATAAATATTGCTGCATAATCTACTAAACAACTATTCGTATTTGTCCCGTTACGTATGAAATAATACTTGCTGATTTAATCTACTAACAACTAATTCGGTATTGCCCGTTAGCTATTAATATTGCTGTACATCTACTAACAACTATTCGTTATCTCGCCCGTTACGTCAATTATACTTCGCTGATAATCTACTAACAACTATTCGTATTGCCCGTTACCGATATATATTGCTGATAGGGCTTTACCTAACAGCTATGCGTATTGCCCGTTACGTAATAATTATTGCTGGATGCCCGAACGACTGCATATCCGCCTTGGATAATCTACTAACAACTATTCGTATTGCCCGTTACGTAATAATATTGCTGATAATCTACTAACACTATTCGTATTGCCCGTTACGTAATAATATTGCTGATATCTACTAACAACTATTCGTATTGCCCGTTACGTAATAATATTGCTGATATACGTTCTAACAGCTATGCGTATTGCCCGTTACGTAATAATATTGCTGATATACGTTCTAACAGCTATGCGTATTGCCCGTTATTTAATAATAGTGCTGATAATCTACTAACAACTATTCGTATTGCCCGTTACGTAATAATATTGCTGATATACGTTCTAACAGCTATTCGTATTGCCCGTTACGTAATAATATTGCTGATATACATGTAAAATAGTTGCTGATAATCTACTCAACAACTAATTCGTATTGGCCCGTTAGCGTAATATATTGGTGATGATAACGTTCTAACCAGCTATGGCGTATTGCCCCTTACTTAATAATATTGTGCGTGATAACGTTCTAACAGCTATGGCGTATTGCGCCGTTACGATAAGAATATTGCTGGATAATCTACTAACAGCGTATGGCGAATGCCGTTACGTATAGATATTGCTGATATACGTTCTAACAGCTATGCGTTATGCCCGTTAACGTATAAATACTGCTGATATAACGTTCTAAACTAGCCTATGCGATTGCCCGCTTACTAATAGATATTGTGGCTGAATAACGTTCTAAACAGGCTATGCGTATTGCCGTTGCCGTAATAAATTGTGCGAATAACGTTCGTAACACGCTATGGCGATATTGCCCGTTATCGTAATAATATTGCTGATAAATCTGATAAAGCTATGGCGTATTGCCCGCTACGTAATATGACTTAGGCTGATATCTACTAACAGCTATGCGTATCTGCCTGTTACGTAAATAATATGCTGATTTTGAATCTACTAAACAGCTTTCCGTCATTGCCGCGTTACACTAAATAATATTGCTGATAACGTTCTAACAGCTATGCGTATTGCCGGCTGGATAATAAGTTAAGTAATAGGTTAGGTAATAAGTTAGGATATATTGCTAATAATGTTCTAACAAATGCCGAATTGCGCGGGCACGTAAGGCGCATGCTCAATAGCTTCTCATAGTAACCGTTGCATAATAATATTGCTGATATAGTCATGATCAGTCTTCGTCATAGCATTGGTACTAGATTAGGTGCGGCAGTGGAATCGCGCGCGTGCACGTCTGCGAGCGTTGTCAAGGCGACGCGCGCGTACTCACTGGCGTGTGCGTTTCCATGGAGATTGCCGACGGCGTACGGCGTCTCGCGGTCTCTCTCGTATCTAGTCGGACTGAGCAGCTGCTGGTTGATTGCAGAAGGAGGCGGCGGGGAGAGGGGGTCCACGATGCTCTCGTATAGCGGCTGCGGTGGAGGCGGTAGCGGCAGACCGGGCGACGGTGGCTCCACATTAATGCTGGCCGCTATCATGGGCGTCTATAGCAACGAACGTGTGTTAGTGTGAAACTACTACTGCACACAGATAAGAACCAATAATGCGTTCACAGCTCTAACAACACTGTGCGTTGTCATAGTATATACTCGTATCCACAAAAATAGATGGTTAAATCTTGGCAGTATTTTCATGTTGTGATCATGTACGTCTTATGTAGATGGAATCCTGGTCTCTTATTCTTATATATATATATGTCGATATTATAGTTAGATAGTTCGATTTTAGTCGATATTATATAGTTTCTCACCGCACACACGTGCCCGAATTTCGTCACCAAACACGATCGTCTGCCGGCGACGCGTGGCGCCCTCGCGCGGCGCTTACCGAAACGTCGCAATTGTCCGCGGTGTTCTCTCGAGACGCCGATAGGTATTCCGCATTCTCCACGGCCGTGTCGGTCGGACTGTTCGGCTGCGGCTGGCCGCCAGCGTCCGGGGTCACCCATAGGTCGTTCCACTGCAGGAAAGATCGCTCGTAGCGGTTAATTACATGCACGCGTCGATGGTCGCCATGACGACCCCCGCACGCAGGCGACATGAGGTGAGGCGAGGCGGTCACGATGCACGAGTATGCGAACGGATAGCGAGAGAGAGAGAAAGACTCACAGCGAGCGAGAGAGGGATGGAGAGAGACACAGAGCGAGAGAGGAAGGGGAAGAGGGAGAGAGACATAAACAGAGCGAGAGAAAAGAAGAGAGAGAGAGACATACACAGAGCGAGGAAGAGAGAGACACACAGAGCGAGGGAGAGGTAGACACACACACACACACGCGCACGCGCACGCACACGCGCACACACACACACATACACACACGCCATGACCGACCCCCGCACGCAGGCGACATGAGGTGAGGCGAGGCGGTCACGATGCACGAGTATGCGAACGGATAGCGAGAGAGAGAGAAAGACTCACAGCGAG